GTGTGAGAGAGAGAGAGAGAGAGAGAGAGAGAGAGTTATTAATAAAAATAAAAATGAAATTAATTATAAGTTTTATATAACAGACTTCAATATCACTTATAATTCATAAGTAAAAGTGAAATTCACTGTAAAATAGTATTAAAAATTGGCATGCACCATTACACCATACAATAGCCACCCATAGTCGTGTGTGGGTAGCGGGGTGATCATAAGTGAGCCGGCACACATACCCAACAATTTATGACATACATACGTGTTTGAGCCGGTAAATTCCCTATAATAAGCATTTAATAGCTAAACCCATCACAATTATTAAACAATTATATTATTCTGTTTCACAACTTATTATATATTTCTTTCGACACATTATCACAGCATTTATAATACAATTTCAACACATATTTAACGCATAGACTTCAAACTCGATGCATAAAAATCTCACTATATTTTTATGGCTATTAATACCACAGTATTATAATATCTATTAATAAATGTGTTTATTATGCATTCAGCATTTTCCACATTGAAATAAACACATACTTAAAATTTATAATGAACTTTGTGTGCAATTAAATACCTGTTATACCTTGTAATGGGCACTAGTAGGCATGTAATGCACTCGTAGCTACAGTATATTACACGTGACATTTGACACACTATTAATACACACTCAAGAATATTCTGTGCTCAATGTACCTGTATGCAACATGCACTTTTGTAGTATTTATTATGGCATTATAAGCTATGCTAATTGTATGTTATTATAGAATAATTTAAATATAATAGCCTTAATAAGTTTATAAAAGTTACAAGCTGTAATTTTAAAATTATACAAAATTAGTTAATTTTAATTAATAATAATAAAATAAACATTTTGGAGTATACTGGACCTAGAATATTTTGTATTTAATAAACTTTTACTGTGAGATTAGGTACATATTTTATTTAAGCAAATAATTTGTATTAACAAGCTAAAAGTTAATATTTTATTTAATTGATTTTGGAATTAAATAACTATAAAACCTTATAATTACCTTGGTTACTAACTCATAATTTTTACATGTACTGTAATTATCTATTATAGTTGTTATTATTTTAAAACTCATTTACTTTACTCTACTATTAAATTCATCAAGTATAATGAACTTTTAACAAATACAATTACAAACAATGTAAATAAAATAAGATATCAGTTAGATTACACTGTAATCATTACAGTGCCCTTCCCATATACTCAGGTGCTCATACACTACTGTATCAAAAAGATCACGGATCAATTACATTTATGTTTTGTAAGCTATTTTAAAATATCAGCATTTAATAATTGTGTGCAACATGTATAGATAAATTATTTCAATTCAATGTCTCTCTCTCTCTCTCACACACACATTCACTCACTCATTCTCTCTCAATCCCCCAAAACCAATGGGACAGTCGGTACAAAACAACGGCACCCTATGGCTGCACATATACGTAACGAAAGCGGGTCGCGGCGGGCGCACGGCCTACCCGAGCGCATCTCTCTCTCTCACACACACACACACATTCTATAGAATTTATAAATTTAAATTAAAATATTTGTTATAGTTATATAAAAAAAATTTGAAAAATAAATGTAAGTTAATAAATGTTTACATTATAAATATTTTAACCTAACCTAACATCTAATACAACATAACCTAACTCACCATCATACTTTTATTTATTTTATAAAATCAAAACTAACCAGGGGGCAAAACCACACAAACACAATCACCATACGTTATATATGAACGGCCACCTAAGTATGAATTGCATTAAAAAGCAACACATATCCACCACAACCACACGCATACCGGCCATAACCCACACACACTAATCGCTACCATTAACGGCATAATCCACAAACATCTCCCAAATCGCATACACAGAACACTACCGCTCACACACCCCCACCCCCTCTGGCACACAATAATCACTGCCACCGATGGCCAAACACTACACGCGTTAAGCCTATGGCGACTGCGCGTATGGTTTGACTGTTTAAAACCCATTGCAAACTCGTGTGTAAAACAAATACAAAAAGTATTTGTATTTAACTGTTATTGACATCCGATTTGATCCACAGATGATAATCGGTTGACCGCGAGAACTATCGCCACCGGATCTACTCATCGACACCACACACTCCAAGACATCACTCACATCCCATACCCACCGATAGATAACTCAAGACATGTCCGCGAATCAGGCGGTGATGCGAAGGGGCGGCGATAACGCCGTACGAGAGGTACGGACACGTGCTTACCATCGATGACCACCACATGATAATCACGTGAATCTCTTGTGTATTATAGGATCCAAACGCTGGACAAGCGGTTGAACCGCAAGCGGATCCACAGCCGCCACAACCGCAAGGTTTGCCTTATGATCGCCCGATTCAGTTGATCCCTACCGCCGATGACTAGTGTTTTAGTGGTTATACGTATCGATACCTTGAGTGTTATCTCTGTATACCTCGGCGGTCGAGTACATGGCTTAGCCCGCAGACCTATTGTTCACTTAAACTGATCCCACGCCTGATATATGCAGTGTTTCTCACCATTCAGTTCATACCTCTTGTGTCTAAAGCTCTGTAATATCTGTTAATCTATACCTCAGAGGGTTAGCCCCGAACCCCTCCCCGTCTATCAACTGATCCACACCTAAGCCATTGATATATCAATCCATAAACTCATGTCTAATGTCTNATATTTACCCAGTTTTGGCAAATTTAGTCCACATATCCATCACACGTTTACTCAAATCCACGTCTTTGGGTAAATAACCAGGTCTAATGAATGGCAGTCCAAACACAAATGGTATGTCCATTCCGTGACAAATGCCCATGGTATTAATATCACACTTCATAAATGGTGCAAAAGATTCACTTGCATCGCGAAGTTGATAAAAATAAACTCTATGCGAGTCTTTTACGGCAATTGCAAACTGTTTGGCAAACGTATAGGTGGGACAGACCACTATAATATCACCCGTCAGACCTGAAAAGGCGTATCTCAAGAATAAGGACCATGAGCTATTTTGGTGATAATATTCGGATATTTCCTGGATGTCTATTCCGTGATACATAACATCCAATGCTTTAACGCCTGCCATAAAGTCCTGAAGAGTCATATTATGTATATTTGGCACAAATCCGCTCATAAAAACTGAGCCCTCGTCCCGAGTGACACCCGCCATGAGATCGATATCTATAGTCGTATTAATAATATAATAAGGATCGTATGTATGCCGTACAACAAAAATACTTTTAAATTTAAACCTAAATTAAATTTGTTGTCTGCAAATGCTTTTTGCGCAGAAATGGGCAGAAATTGATTGCCTAACACAGGAAATGTAGGATTCTTTGAATACATTGACAACTCGTTTGCCTTCACTTTTCGCAGACATTGCAACCAATCTTCAGTTTCGCTACAATTCAGACGTTTTGCTAATTGCTTGGCATCGGATAGGGCTTCGAGTTTACTGACAGCATCCCTGTCCTTATTATACATATGGGCCCCACTTTGCATAATAGCCCTCTTGAATAAGCCTTTTGATAGGGGAGAGAGTATATGTGCAGACACGGACCAACTGCCGGCGTCCTCGCCAAATATAGTGATCTGATCCCTGTCCCCACCAAATGCATGGATATTATCTCTAACCTATAATTCAATTATTGTTATATTAATATACTGTACAGTAAATAAAAAGTAATTAAAATAGTAGTAATTTTATACCCATTTGAGAGCCAATAACTGGTCATAAAAGCCCACATTTCCGGGCGCGTCCTCCCTGTCCCCATACAAGAAGCCAAACAGACCCAACCTATAATTGGTGGACACAATCACTACATCATGAGTGGCCAAAACACTTCCGTCGTAATAGTCTTGAAATATAGAGCCCAACACGAGAGTCCCTCCATGTATCCAAAACATGACCGCTTTTGACCCATTGGATGGACTACTGGGTGACCATATGTTTAGTACCAAACAGTCCTCGCTGGCATTTAACCCAGGTACAACCGGAATTACTGTTTGCATACACGAGTGTTTAGGTTTTGTCGCGTCTATTATGTCCTTTAAATTTAAAAGTATTAAAATTGGTTTAAAATTTTATTTTAATTTCTATTAATTTTTTATTTGAGTAATACTTACAGGCAATGGATCTTTAATAGGTTCTGGTTTTGCAAACCGCAAGCTTCCTAAAGGGGGGACGGCATATGGTATGCCTAAAAACTGGTCAATATTTTTATCCAATAGCTTAATTGTTTGTCCCCGTACCAAACCAGATGTTGTGTTAACATCGACACAGTTTATTGATTTAGATTTGACTGTGCTTATTATAAGTATAATTACAAACTCATTGAAATTCATAATTATGTTAAATAAATGTTTTATTTTATCACACTAATTGCATAATAATATTTATTAATACACAGTGTTTGGTATTTATACAAAAATTTTTAATGATATAAATTATCATTAACACACATCTAGATAATCAATAGCATTTTCTTAGTATTTATTGCGGATATAATATTATTTCACATAAAATATGCTGGGTGTGGTATTTTGTTATTATATTCATTGCTTTATATATTGTTTATAATTTTAATGAACATGCACGTCTATCCACTTTAACTCAAAATTGAACAAACACAAAACTCATATAATTTGATAACAACTGACCCTGATGGGTATGTTCGTACAATATCTGTGTTATAGATAAGCGATTAGAGTATTGTATGGGAAAGAGTTTCGAGTACCATTAGGAAAGGTAGATAAAGTGGTGAATAAATAATATAATTTTTAAATAAATCCAATATTTACAGTAATATTATTTAAATGTGTTCAACAGTTTACAAATAATTTTATTTACATAAGAAATTAATTTTTTGTTACAACTAGTCATGTTAAATGAAGATATTAAAATTTTAAACGTATTCATGCACATTTATTAATTAATTTTTGACATAAAAAGTCATGCAAAAATATTTGTTTATAATTGAATTGAGCTCTAAATGAAATACACTTTGCAATATTGTTATTTATAACAGATTTTAAGTCGTACATATTTTTGTCGCACACAATAGCATTAAATCCAGTGATTACGTCAATAACGGTAAATATTTCAACCATTTTCTCAACTTTCAAGCCATTTATAAAGTCTTTTAAATTGTCAATATTTATGCCACAAATACTTAATACATGTTTACTGTGTTTTTAAAAATTTGATATTTAGTTAAGGGCTCATCCATGAAATATATGGTGACTATACTTACTGTCGGATAGTCCTACGAAACAAGTTGTGAGCCGTGTTCCCAATGCTATTAATAGCGTATGTCGTAAGCATTTTGTGGTCGTACATATCGGTGCTCAGGGTAAATCTTTCTATATCGTGTAAAAGCATATACCTACCATTCCTAGGTGTAGGTGCGATAAGTATATTGTTAGGTCTAATAAGGGTATGAATAAACTTATAGCCTGTTTGGTGTAGATATTGAGCACATTGAAGGAGTTCTCGCATTAATTCACACGATATGTAGAAATCAATGCAAATCATTAGAAAAGAGGTCTGGGTTTTGAAAAATTTGTGTTTTTCAATGATAATTGTTTTCAGAGTTTGTGAACATATTTGCATTTGTATGAAAATATAGCGATTCTCGAGCCATGAGTTGTAGTATTGCACCAAATATTCTGTATGATTGTCAATGTGATTCCGGATATGTGTTACGTATCCATACAATTCTGTTAAACTGTCTACAGTATATAAGTTTGGTTATTTACCATGTTGATGGTATTTACTTGATAAATGTTTAATAGGCATTTTCGATTTCAATATTTAGTATTTATTAAACTTACATGGTGCGTCAAACTTTAATATCGTATATATTTCATTATCATCTTCATTTTGCGCTAAATATAATGGAGCACCTGGATATTCATAAATCTCAGTGAGCTTTGTAAATTTTGATTCATGCAATCTAGTACTTGTGCTAGATTCTAAAGTTATAAAATAACATGATAATTTTTATAAAATAATTTTATTTTACAAACCTTTATTTAAAAGTTGATTTAATTCACCAAGATTACACAGTGGATTGCTTTGCATATATTTCTCGTAAAACAACTGATTATTAGTTTTAAATATATTTTTAAGCATGATAATATCATTATCGGGAATATTAGGTTTAATTACTAATGGATGTAATTGTGTTAAAATGTCCGCACATTCGGGTCTATCGTTATAATCAGTTGAACCATGTTTTGAGTATTCATTGACAGCCATTGATAACAATAAATTGTATATATTTTGTAAAATATTTTTCAAATAACCATCGTAATTCCCAAAACCATGAATACTGTGTTAAATAGAAATTAGCAATCTTAATAAGTGTTTGGGTTAAATAATTATATTAAAACAAAATAAACATTTAAATATTGCTTTAATATAATAGTGAGTATGCTAGACAGTACTATTCACATATTGTATGTCAAAGCAAAGCATAAATGTCCCTTTCGTTTAAATATTCTATTAGCAATATTAATATATCCTATTTTGGTATATTAAAACATACTTTCCATGAACTATAAGGAAAAATAACTTTGGTTTTTAGAGCCGGGGTTACTATCGGTCTGATATCTATAGATAATTTACTAACATCAGTAGCGGGTATCGAAGGCCACGGACTATAGATCGCAGAGGTTGTAGAAGTCTGTTAGTATAAGTACTGATATCGTGGACCTCTTTAGCCAAACCAAAGTCACATAATTTCATATAATATTGGCTATAATAATATGGCTCTTCCATAGCAATCAACACATTATCCGGTTTGAGGTCTCTATGAATGATATGCTTTTCGTGCAAATACTGCACACATTCAACGAGTTGTCTAAATAACTCGTAAGATATGAATGCCTCGAAACTAGTCATCGGTTCGTGCGATTGTCTCGTAAACAATGTTTGTTTGGTTTTTAATAAATTTTTCAGTAATAGCCTTGTGTTGAGGTAAACATACATATCTGTCAACGGAAGTTAGGTGCTCAACATCATTAACTACTGTTTGAAACTCGCTTGAAACTAATACGAAAACCAAAGCAAATTGTGCAAAAGAGAGTCTTTGTCTTCTTTGATGGCTTTTTATTGAAATTTAAATTTTAAGTTAATATTACATTATATGTAGAAATAATTTGACATTTGAGTGAATCTGCGACAAAACCACAATTTTTGTAATGTTTTGTCGTATATTTACTCATTTAATAAATAAATGTAAATCACCGCTTAAATCACAAATTTTAATTGCGTACGACGTATGATCGTGTATAAAGGTAACATGGTATACAGTTCCGAAACCTCCCTGACCAAGCTTCTTTTGTATTTTAAATGATCTCTTAAATTGATTGCTATTTGTAGCGCAATCTAATTGAAATATATTTGTAGATTTATGTATAATGTATAATTTTATATTATCTATATTAATATTATTTAGAATGATCTATGAAGTTATACTGGGGTGAGTAGATTTAAAAACTATAATTTACATCATTCGCACAAAACGTTGAGCCTAGCATAGAAATCATCAAAATTAGTGTAATTTGTTTCTATAATGTCCTGTGAATTATACATAACCTGGTGAATTTTGCCACCAGATATACAAGCAGTTAATGGTTCGTCCCTTTCGTATGAATATATTTGCTTGATATCATTGATCCTATAATTTT